AGCAAGAAGTCACCCCCAGAAGGGATGGCCACACCATAGTCCTTTCTCCTCCATTCTCCTCTAGGAATTTTGGGCGTGCACACACACACACACACACACCCGGCGTGAGTTTTAAGCCACTGGGTCCGGGACTCAAACCGCAGTCTACTACATGGGAGTTCAGCGACATAACCATTATGCCATCCATTGGCCCCCCAGCCTCTAATCTCTTGACTGTCTGAGCCAACATGCTTTCAGTTATCAGAACACAAGTAGTTGTTTTCTTACAAGGTGCAAGAACCTCCATTTTGCATAGTGATGTGTCTCTGAGAAAATCTGAAAAGGAGATTCACCTTCAGTCGAGAAACTACGAGGTTATAGTTTACACCTAACTACCTACCTTAAGAATATGCTTTACTGCACCTAGTTAGAACTCAGATGTTCTCCTGGGCTGGGGAACTTGCTTGTTTTTAATCTGTTATTATTTGGAAGTAATGCTGAAAAGCAGCTCAGAGTGGTATTCTCAACTCCTGTTGATTTTCTCTAAATATAGTTTGTGGAGAGGGTCAGATGGCGATACAGGGGTAATGTAGCGCTCTGCAAGGTTAACCCACATGGGAAGGTTCCAAGTTCATGTCCAGAGACCTCCTTAAATACAGCAGGTATGTGGGTCCCTATGATCTAGGGCTTGCTGAGTTCTGGGTGTAGGTTATGGTGTCAAGACCCTAAAAAAAGTTCAGGAAAAAATTTAATTAAGAATGAATTTTGGTGTAACGTTTTTTTAGATTTATACATAGTTTTTTCCCCAGGTATGCATTTTCCATGAACTTTTTGAAAACACAGAAGCCCTACTGATCTATCTGTGCCTTGAAAAATAAAAGTACCACTGTCTTCAGGACCTCGAACCTAGGATCTTTAGCTCTTATTTTTTTCACCATTGACTTTTTCCCAAGGAGTGACCTTTTTGGTCTTACTAAGTTGTTCTTGACAGCCTGCCTGGTGGAGAGCTCCAGCTCTCTTTCAAAGCCCAGCAGGTGACAGCACTGCATTTCTGGTCCCGCTCTTGGGTGTGATAAATGAACTTGTGTTTGAATTTTTGACCTTATGATGCTGTAGAGTGTTTGTTTGGTTTGCAGCCATTTCCACCAACACACTGAGTGTTGATGGAAATCAACTTTCAGCAGTAAACGATTCCATTTTGTATCCCCCCCCCTTCCAACTTGACTGTGTAGAGAGAAACAGTCATTTCATCCCTGGTGTTCACCAGCCTTGACAATCTTAGTAGTGACAAATATGATGCTGTAGAGTGTTTGTTTGGTTTGCAGCCATTTCCACCAACACACTGAGTGTTGATGGAAATCAACTTTCAGCAGTAAACGATTCCATTTTGTATCCCCCCCCCCTTCCAACTTGACTGTGTAGAGAGAAACAGTCATTTCATCCCTGGTGTTCACCAGCCTTGACAATCTTAGTAGTGACAAAAACAACAACAACAACAAAACAGCCTTTCTGGACTCATAGGTGTAACCATAAAGCAGTGTTCTCACTGTGAGGTGGAAGGCAGACCTGTGCCCTGCTTGGTGGGACCAGGGTGAACATTTACACAGGTACCTTTCTTGGGTGATCTTTTCCTGCTTGTTTTCTGGTCTTTCTTTGACTCTCCTCCTTTTGACATATTTTCATGTTCTTCTACCATAACAACAAATTGGCTTTAAAATTATGGAAAAACTGAAATGTGATGGTAAACAGCTATTCCCCTTCCCTTTTCTCATGCCAGTCATGTTTCTGCCTCAAGTCATTGTGGTCTGTACATCTTAACTATGTCTAACAACATTCTAGATGTTGTAGACATAGCCACAAGGTTTGATGGCTGTACTAACACTTTTCTGTAGGTAAGGGACCTTAAGAGAAAGTGGACCCAGTCAATCTCTAATAGATAGATTCAAAGTAAATCAAACCCAAGATGGGTTGAAGAAACTACAGCAGGTATATCATTCTCTCAAAACCAAAGGGTGTGCTGCCTTTTATTCTAGGACACTGGTTCCCATGGAGAGGCATCTGTCTGTGGTTCCTAGCCAGGGGACATAGTCACCTCCTGCACCAGATCTTGAGCTTCAGGAGATGGAGAATGAAAACCAGCAGGGAGGCATGCACCTGCTTCACGTTCACCTCTAGGATGACACTGTGGTAGTTCTCTCTCACAAGCCCTTTTACCAACTCTCTCCTAACGAGAAGAGTCCTTAGGAGAGACTGTCCAAGGTCCAAGTCTACCGTCACCTCTCCTCTCAAGCACCCATCATGAAAGGGATTTATCCCTTGAACAAGGAAAGTTAATTCACTCTGTTAAAGAACAGAGATCCAACAAAATCCCGGGAGAATGGAATCAGCTAGGAAAAGACCTGGGGGAGCCTCTTCTTGGGTGATTGCCATCCCCGTGATCTGGGGCAACAGGAAAATTCTGGGAACCTGCAAGACAGAACGGACATTTTGTCTCAAGGAAACTATTGTCCCACAAATGGAAGTGTTTTTTAAGCACACACAACTCAATAAGATAGTAAATTTATTAAAGCAAGAGCTCAACCTTAATATGAAACAATAAAGTGGGGTGAAATAAGAACTATAGAACTAAGGGAATAAAATGAGAACAAAACAAGAGCGGTCTAAAACTAATATATACATTTGAAACAGTAGGAACTTAATGGCCTGGAAATTTTAATAGTGACAGAAGGGGAAAGCTTTGGAAAATTGTAGAGAAAGCAACAGGGGAAAAAAACCAAACACATGAAAGCAATTTAAATCATCCTAAGAGTAATCCAGGATAGACATAACTGATATCCCTAAGGAATAGACCTTATTCCAAACAAACAAACAAACAAACAAAAACGAATCCCACAGAATATATTTGCAGAAATAGTAGAAGAAAAGTTTTCAGGAATAACCAAATTGCTAGAAGGCAGGGCAATATGCATTGTTTTGAAGGGAAGAGTTAGAGAACTGTGAGTAAACAACTATGCAAATAGAATGTAAAGGCTATAAACTTTGAGAAATGGGAGTGATGAGTCAGTCTGTATCTAAAATCAAAATATGAGTTCAAAAAAAAAAAAGAATCCCCCTTTCCTATTCTTAACTCCAGATGGGCTTTTAAAGAAATACGGATCTAAAGTTTAGCAATTCCATTATCCTCATGTCAGCTTAATTTTTTTAAATACAAAGTTCAATTTTATTTATTTTTTGTTTAAAACATGTTTAACATGTCTGGATGTCCCACTTGTGGGTTGGATGTTTGTGTTTTCTTTGGGGTATACGGCATTATTTAATTTTCTAAGAATTGTATCTAAACATAAACGATTATTCCAGAATGTGTGTAAATAGCAAACTAAACATATCTACCCCGTCACGTCTCTGACTGTATCGGTACTGGGTTGGCCTGGCATGAGCAGCTGACTACTCACTTCTCTTGCAAATAGCTTCTTATCTGTTTCTGTATTTATTTTAATAGCCTTGCATGTCTTTCGCTTTTATGACAACCCACCCCCCAGCTTTTCGGAAATGAGCGGAGAAACTTCTCACTCTAGATAATTATTTTTCATTTTGCCAACACCTGAGCAGTAGGGTTACTGAAAGGCATGAAGTACTTCTTTGACTTGAGACATGGTGAGGAGACAGTGGGAAAGCATCCTGTCATAAACGAGGAGCTCGAAGACTAAACAATGTACCTGTCATTTTGTGCAGGCTAACAATACCAGATGCTTTTCTCCTGTTATTTTTCAGCTCAAATATCTTGAGCTAATGAGACACACACCTCTTTATTTCTGTCCTCCTTATTGTGGTGAGTAAATGGATCTTTAATGGAATAGTATGTACCTTTTCTCATTGACTAATATATGAGTGTCTGTAAGCTGACGTCACAAGAGGACTGGAATCTTTTTTATTTGACGTTAAGGTTTTATTCTCAATAAATGCAAAGTGGCTATTACAGTGTTGACATTTTGGTCTAATTTTAATTTCCAATATGTACATTGCAACAGCTATTTAGAAATAATGGGAAATTAAATATTTGGCTTTTCTACAAGTAAGTAATATAAGATTGAATAATTTGTGTGTATGTCCAAAGATTCAACAAATGGAAGCCGAACTAAATTATGGGAAATAATTATTGCTCAGAAATGTAAGAGCCGACAGATCGTGGGTGGTTGATGCCACTTAAATGCTTATTGATTTCCCACATAGCTAAAAATGCAAGTGGTATCATCTCTTCTTTCCTTTAATAAGTATAACCTGTTTGTCTGTCTGTCTCCCTACTTTGTCAACTAATGATAAAAAAGTATGCCCATTGACTATCTTGTTCAGTTAAAATGGCAACTTTTTTTAACCAAGGATCATTATGGCATTGTGACTTTTTCATTTTCTTGGCAAAACGCCACAGATAAGTAGATTATTTACTTTCATAATTTTTTGTTCATTGATATAATTCCTATATCAGCAATTTAGTGGTTCTGCCAACTAATATATCATAGTCATCTGAAGTACGTTTACTCTACAAATTATTATCTAATAGCCCCTTTCCTCATAAAGAAGTCAGTGTTGTATATTTAGGAACTTAAGAGACGTTCACTTTAAAAGTGATAAGACAGTAACTATCCAGCACTAAAGCACTGAGTTTTCTTTTTTATTGGCCGGCCTTCTCTGGCCAGGAATAGCTTCTCGCTGCTGTTGTCTAGACAGGGTCCTATGCCGTGAGAGTGAAAGAAAGTAATTCCCTTTGGAAAGGTCTGACCCCAAGGCCTTCATCCCCCAGAAGGGGAAATGGCTTTCTAGAAACGCACACTGAAGTCTTTGCTTGGGTGTTTCAGTAGATGTTAACTGTCGACATTCCTGCAATGACTGAATGCAGGCATTCCTCAAACTGTCGTCTTTAATTGTCATGACATCCTCACGAAGATATCTTAATTTTAAAAAAGTTATATGTGGTTGCATCTATACGTTTACCAATCGGTTTTCTTTTCTTTTTTTTTTAACAGAAATCTTAGAGGCTGGTATTAAAGGAACTTCAGAATCCCTTAAAGGTGTAAAACGAAAAAAGATTGTAGCTGAGAATCACCTGAAGAAAATACCCAAATCCCCACTGAGAAATCCTCTTCAGGCAAAACACAAGCAAAACACGGAAGAGTCCTCCTTTGCTGTTCTCCAGAGTGCTTCCGAGTCTCACAAGAAACCGAATCATATTCCCGTAAAAAATGGGAAGCAGTTTCCCAAACAAAATGGGGAAACGCCTGGGATAATTACCGAGGCCTCAAAATGCGAAGAGTCCACCTCCCCAAAGAAGCCCTCGTCTCTGCAGCACCCAACCGAACTGCGTCGGTGGAGGTCGGAAGGCTCTGACTCCACCAGGTTCGGCGTCCTCGATGGAAAATGTGACCCTCGTCCTTTGTCAAGTAAAACGAGGCCTGACACGAGTGAATGTATCTCTCCTCGCTGTAGTTCCGCTTCCCCCTCGTATACAAATACCGCGTTCGATGTCTTACTGAAAGCAATGGAGCCAGAACTGAGCACCTTGTCCCAAAAGGGCTCACCTTGTGCAATTAAGACAGAAAAACTGAGACCAAATAGAACTGTACGATCCCCTTCTAAATTAAAAAACAGCTCAATGGATGCCCCAGATCAGACCTCCCAGGAGCCAGTTGCCGAAGCACAGCCCTCTCTCGGTACCTCATTCACACTGCAGGTGTCCGCTGCTCCGCAGGGTGAGCGGGCGGCCGCTCAGTCGGCCTCTCGTTCGTACGATCAGCACGGACACTTCATTTCCAAACCCAACCAGCATGATCAGCAGCTTCCAGGGCGTGCAGGTTCCGCCGGATCACTGGCACATCTGCAAAGTCAAGAGAACGCCCAACTTGAACAGGTTTATAACACAGCGGTGGTGTCGTCCGTAGGTCTGACTTCGCCTTCCAGTAGAACTCAGGTTACTCCTCCAAACCAGCAAGTGGATTCTGCTTCACCTCTGTCAGTAAGTCCCGTCAGCTCTACGCAGTTGCCCCCCACACCAATTTACAACTCAGCTCACGTCGCCTCTGTTGTCAGTCAAAGTGCAGAACAAATGTGCAACCTCCTTCTGAAAGATCAGAAGCCAAAAAAACAAGGAAAATACATCTGTGAGTATTGCAACAGAGCTTGCGCGAAGCCCAGCGTGCTTTTAAAGCACATCCGCTCCCACACCGGAGAGCGCCCGTATCCCTGCGTGACATGTGGGTTTTCATTCAAGACGAAAAGTAACCTGTACAAGCACAAGAAGTCCCACGCACACACTATCAAACTGGGTCTCGTCTTGCAACCAGATACAGGCGGCTTGTTCCTGTCCCACGAGTCCCCCAAAGCACTTAGCATCCACTCAGATGCAGAAGACAGTGGGGAGAGTGAGGAGGAGGGCGCCACCAGTGACAGGCAGAACGGCCCAGGGGCCATGGAACTGCAGCCTATGCAATTAACGAAGGGGATATCCAATGCTGAAGTTTTTTCCCAATCAAGTTCTCTGCCAAGCAATCCAGATCACGTGGTGGGTGACCTCTCACTCCAGGACAGACCTTCAGAATCGCAAGCTGTGACAGAGTTACCGAAAGTCGTGGTCCACACTGTCGGTGTGTCCCCCTTAAGAACCGACAGTCCAAACATTGCTGATGCCAAGCCTGAACTTCCTAGTTTACAGAAGCAGAAGGACCTTCAGGTGGCAAATGTCCTGCCCCGGTCAGCCTGCACGACTGCCTTAGAGACCGAGGAGAAGTCCCAGCAGAGTCAGCCAGAAGGAAAGCAGGACTGTCACACGGGGACGACACATGCCCAGCTGCAGAGACAGCAGGCCACGGATCACTCCCAAGAACAGCAAGGCAAGCTGCTCCTGAGCCCTCGCAGTTTGGGGAGTACAGACTCCGGTTACTTTTCACGTTCTGAAAGTGCCGATCAAACAGTGAGCCCGCCAACGCCCTTTGCCAGAACTCTACCGACCATGGAACAAGATTCCACTAAAAGTAACGGCCCCTCCGCCCCCCGCATCAGTCCACCAGCACCCTCAGCATTCACAGCGGGGGAAAAGGCCCTGCTCCTGCCGGGTCAGATGCGTCCACCCTTGGCCACAAAAACACTCGAAGAACGGATATCGAAACTGATCTCGGACAACGAGGCCTTGGTGGATGACAAGCAACTGGATAGCGTAAAGCCACGGAGGACCTCTCTGTCCAGACGAGGAAGTATCGATTCCCCCAAGTCATACATATTTAAAGACTCCTTCCAGTTTGATTTAAAACCAGTGGGACGAAGGACAAGTTCAAGCTCGGATATACCAAAGTCCCCTTTCACCCCTACTGAGAAGTCAAAGCAAGTGTTTCTCCTGTCTGTCCCTTCCCTCGACTGTTTACCCATCACCAGAAGTAATTCCATGCCCACCACGGGTTATTCCGCAGTACCTGCAAACATCATCCCTCCCCCTCACCCCCTGAGAGGAAGCCAGTCATTTGACGACAAAATTGGTGCTCTCTACGATGACGTCTTTGTGTCGGGACCTAACACTTCTGTGCCCCAGAGCGGGCATCCCCGGCCCCTGGTCCGACAAGCAGCCATAGAAGACTCCCCAACCAGCGAGAATCATGTTCCGGGTCCCGGACTGCCTGTGGATGAGAGCTACCAAGGAGGCCATGCCCCTGGCGAGACCCCCTCCACCAGGAGCAAGGCCCTGACACAGGGCTCACACCTCGAGAAGAAGAAGTCTCATCAAGGCCGAGGGACAATGTTTGAGTGTGAAACTTGCAGGAACCGCTATAGGAAACTGGAGAATTTCGAAAACCATAAGAAGTTTTACTGTTCTGAGTTACACGGCCCAAAAACCAAGGTCGCCGTGCGAGAACCGGAGCACAGCCCCGGGCCAGGCCACGCTCAGCCTCAGGTCCTGCACTACAGAGTCGCCGGGGCCACAGGGGTCTGGGAACAGACGCCCCAGATCAGAAAGCGGAGGAAAATGAAAAGCGTCGGAGACGAAGATGAGCTGCAGCCCAATGAAAGCGGGACTTCTCCGAGAAGCTCCGAGGGTCTGCCGTTTCAGAGTCCTCTGGGCTCTCCTCCCAGTCTGTCTAAACATCACGTGACCATGATCAGCGACCAGCAGCTCAGAAATAGACAATTGCAAAACTCCCAAATTCAGCTGGTCGCCAGGGGCCCCCACCAGACCACAGATCCAAAGCTGTCCACCATCCTGGAGCAGCAGATCAGTTCAGCGGCCCAGGACAAGGCAGAGGTCAAGAGACATGGGGCTGGGATCTCCGTCATCCAGCACACGAACTCTCTGAGCAGACCCAACTCATTTGACAAGCCAGAGCCTTTCGAAAGAGGTTCCCCTGTCTCCTTCCAGGAGCTGAGTAGAACAGGGAAGCCTGGGTCTCTGAAAATAATAGGACCGTCCCAGGAAGAAGGTCACCCCCCTCGGGACGCGTCCCATCCTCACCATCCTGCACTGTCAGACTCTCTCAGAGGAGAACTTCAGGAAAGCTCAAGAAAGATCTCGAGTGAACGGCACACGCTAGGACAACCCTCAAGACTTGTCCGGCAGCACAATATCCAAGTCCCAGAAATTCTGGTGACAGAAGAGCCAGATCGGGATGTGGACGCCCAGGGCCACGATCAAGAAAAATCAGAGAGGTTCAGCTGGCCTCAGCGCAGCGAAACCTTGTCGAAGTTGCCAACGGAGAAACTGCCACCCAAAAAGAAGAGGCTCCGCCTGGCCGAGATCGAACACTCCTCAACGGAATCGAGCTTCGATTCCACTCTCTCCAGGAGCCTAAGTAGGGAGAGCAGTTTGTCACACACGTCAAGTTTCTCAGCCTCGTTAGACATAGAAGACATTTCTAAAACAGAGGCTTCCCCCAAAATCGATTTTCTGAGTAAAGCTGAGTTTCTGGTGGTTCCAGCTGGCTCGGGTACCCTGAGCATCCCTGGGAGTCACCGGGAAATGAGGCGTGCCGCGTCGGAACAGAGTAACTGCATGCAAACGATGGAGGTCTCCAACTTCAGGAGTAAATCTTTTGACTGTGGAAGCCTAACTCCACCCCAGACAGCACCACTTGGGGAATTGCAGCCTCCGTCCTCCCCCTCTGGCATGGGGGTCCCCGGGCACGTGCCTCTCTTGGAAAGAAGGCGAGGCCCCCTGATACGGCAGATATCTTTAAGCATAGCTCCAGAGAGTCACCTGTCTCCTCTAAACCCATCTTTCCAGAATCTTGCTCTCCCCAGTGTGAACGCAGCACCATTTCAGGGCCCTCTGCTCACAGAGCCATCGTTAGCTGAGTTCCCTGCAAATACCTTGCAATCCCAGACTCACGTTAAGGATCCACGGACCGAAATGTCACAGTCTAGCTCTCCCAGTGTCTTCCCCGTCCCTCAGCTTTTTGGTGTCAGTTCGTTAAATCAATCCCCTGTCCCCCTTAGCCAGCAGAACACACAGCCAACTGTGCAGGTGTCCTCACAGGGCGCCAGACCAGACCCGAGTTCTGCTTCGTGTGTGTCTTCTCCAAGTCAGGATTGCTTCGCGCCCAAGTATCAGCTGCAGTGTCAGGTTCTCACTGCAAGCCAGGCTTGCTCTTCTGATCCTGGGCATTCCTTGCCAAATCAAGTGCTTTCGGACCCGGCCGGAGCGGATCACTACAGGACTTCAGGAGCGTTAGCAACTCAGTTAGTCGATCCCATGCCTGATTCACGCCCCGCGCCTCTGCTGGATCTCAGGCCGCTGGACCAGGTGCAGAAGGGGCCGTCTTCATTCGTGCTGCCCGTCCATCTGCAGAGCAACGTCCCTGCTTACTGTTTTGCCACAGTCCCACCTCTGCCACAGATCCTAGTGACCCAGGATCTATCCAGCCAGCCAATTTGCCAGGCGAGCCATAGCATAGTGCCAATCAGTGAGGAACAGAATTCCCTGCCAAAGTCCCAACAAGGTCACCAGGATGCTTTGCCTAACCCTGCGAAAGAACCTGGGTGTGAAAACGTGTTTTCAGAGATGGGCCGAGTTCCTCCTGTATCAGAATCCTTGCCCATAACTCACAAAATGTCTGTTGGTAGACTGTCCCCCCAACCAGAATCTTCAGCTTCTAGCAAAAGGATGCTCTCCCCAGCAAACAGTTTAGATATTGCCATGGAAAAACACCAGAAGAGGGCTAAAGATGAAAACGGGGCGGCCTGCGCCACAGACTCCAGACGGTCGGAGGCGCTGAGCTCGAGGGCTAACGACGTTCATAAACAGAAGAAACCTGTCTTGGTGAGGCAGGTTTGCACCACAGAGCCCCTTGAAGGTGTATTACTGGAACAGGATGTTTTTTCTCAGCCTGAAATTGAGAGTGAGGATGTTCATTCGACAGGCATTCTTCCACCTGACTGTTCATCACCAGGACACACTAAATTTGCAGTTATAGACCCTATAAATGAGCTGCAGGAGTTTGAAACCATCAAGTCATCTACATCATTAACTCTCCCAGTTCAGAAGTCACCTGTCCCTTCAGAAAACACTCACATTTCTCCTTTGAAGCGTACAGACGATAACCAAGAAAGAAAGTCTCCAGAGGTTAAAAATCAAGGTGACCTAGTGAGCATCCAAGAGCAGAGTCAACCACCAACCTCCAGTCTTCCATTGCTTAACCCTGGAGACACCCAGCAGCCGTCTTTCCCCAGCCTGAAGACCACAACCAGCTTTACGTGGTGTTACCTGTTACGACAGAAGTCATTGCATTTGCCTCAGAATGACCAGAAAACGTCAGCCTATGCCGATTGGGCAGTAAGCTCCAGTAATCCAAATCCACTTGGTTTGCCTACCAAGGTGGCTCTTTCTCTCCTTAATTCAAAACAAAAGACAGGAAAATCACTGTATTGTCAAGCAATAACTACCCATTCCAAATCAGATTTACTGGTCTATTCAAGCAAGTGGAAAAGCAACCTAAGCAAGGTACTTGGAATATAATTGATCTTCACATGTGGTTTGTGCAAAATAGTCTTAACACATCTTTCTACCCTTACATACTTTAATTGTAAATATTTAAATTTTGAATGGCCTATTGTGCTTTTTGTGTGTAGCTATGTGCAAAGCAGGGTGGTATAGTTACCCTGGGCATGAACACTGATGAAGTTACCTGAAGTCCAGTGATTCTGTCTAGAAACATTTTAGAAGTGATACTAACCCTGAGAGCATTTTTTTTTTCAAGTTGACTATGTAAGTCTGTACTTAATGGTATAGACATTCATGGTTTTACTTTGATGTTTCTCTTCTCAAAGTTTTACTGCTCTTGTTAAGTGAGAGATTATGTCTGGACTTTGTTTCTGTTGGTGCAGGTAAGCAAAGGAGTAGGTAATCAGAGATTGCTCTGTTTCTTACTAAAGTGTACACAGAGAGCCACTTGCTGTTGTCTTGTGCATGCTAACTACCCTCGTCAGCCCATCCCAACCGTCTCCCAGTGTCACTCTGAGCCTCATGAGTACTAGAGAGATGATTCATAAAATAAGCTATTCATACTTGTGGTAAGTTGATTTGGTTGAGATTTCTAGAATAATTTAGGGTTGTGAAATGACAATATTTGGTCATTTGGTATTTTGTGGAATCAATCTCATTAGAATTGTTGGCTTTATACAATGGAAAGAATCATGTAGGTGAGTAAGAATAAAGAAATAGATGAGGGTGTATTACATTGCATCCTAGACATTGAGAATTGTACATGAAGTGCTTGACTTCTTCAAGTTCTTGAGCATGAAATACAGATAAATGTTTACATACCTATCAATTAAAAAAAAATCACAGTACCATTGTTATAATAGATACACACACAATTCTAAAAGAGCGAAGATTCTGCCATGGCAGTAGTTAGAAGAGGTAAAGAGGTAGGGGCAACACTCCAAAGGTGGTGATACTTTAGCTGAGTATTAAAAAAAAAAAGTAGGAATATGTTAGCAAACAGGAGTCAGTGACTTGGAAGTGAAAGCAAATTTTAAAGAACTACAGGAGCCTGGCATGTCTCGAATGGTAATATATTTCGAAGTTAGAAATGTTGGTAAAAAGCAAAGCTTATGCATAGTATTGAAGAACCCCTGAGACTTTCTCAGTGAAGAAAGGTGCATTCAAACCATTTGTGGAATTTATTTTTTAAATGTTCCAACTATAATAAATCGTGGAAGATGAGACCTAATCATGAGAATTTAAGCCGAATTTCATCTGTATTCCTGAAGTGCCTATGAAACGTGTCCTCCTCAAGGCCCTGGGAGAAATGTCTGAAAACGCAGTTATAGGTGGGCCCTCAGGAGCTTTCTCCAAGTGGAAGATGTTGAGTAGTGATTCTTCAGTGCCCAAGTGTGATTATTGATATTGCTTAGAGAGAGTATAAAGGAGAGGACCTTGATCATTCCAGGGATCCCTCCTATTTAAAGGGTGGAATTGACAAGGAGTCTATACAGGAGACTGATAGGATTGTTCATAGTGGAAGCAGGAGAACCAGAACAAAGTGTTATCATGCAAAACATGGAAGAAGATATTTTCAGGTAGTACATCCATGTGGTAGAGAGGTCCAGACAGGAGTGTCTGGAACTGAGTGGTTCTCCTGTTATTGGAGATCTAAGTCTATGGCAAGTGGCTGTGGAGGATTGGGTGCTGGGCCAGCTGTCTATCCACATACCAAATATTAATGAATTTAGGATTCAGAATGGTAAGGAAGAATAGATGCTATAAAAGAAAAAGGTGTCTAGGAGACACAAGAAACTAACAACACGTTATTACCATAGTGTAGTCAAGCAGATTAAGACTAAAGAAATCATCATGATTTTGGCGTTTAGCTCATTCGCAGCTTTGGCAAATAGGAACCAGGTTTTTAGTTAAAAAGTGAGCAAAGATAAAGAGAAACTTGGTATTGAAAAAAAGGGGGGATTATTGTTATAGGGATAAAGTTTAAGAAAGCCTCATGCACACATGAGGGCACTTCAAACACTTTTTGGAAATACGGAATTTGTGAGTATTTTTGTGCAAGAAGATTATAATTTTTTTCAGTTTTTTCATAATATGCATTTCCCATGAACTTCCTGAAGACGCCACCTACCCAGATTATGGGAAAAGCTGATAGAAAAGAGGCAAAGTTGCTTTTTTGCCCTACAGTGGTCAGTGTCAGCACCTCTCCACACAGCTGTCCAGGAGGTCCGGCCGGTGGCTTTTCTTTATTCCTTCTTGTCTTTATAAGGATAGGAGCCTCCTTTCCTGAGGCTGCATAGATGCTCCCTCCAAGATGCACACGCTCTCTCATCTCACTGTGTTCCAGCGTCTCAGTCAGGTAGCCATCTGCTTAGCCCTTGGTCAGGATAGCAGGGCAGTGCGTTGGACTCAGCCGTAGGACTGGAGGTGGAGCCTTCGCTATTAACACCTGGGAGTGTCCTTCCTCGCCGGGCCACGCAGTTTCCCTGTACTGGGAGCCTCACGAGGACACGTGAGAATGGAATGGCAGCATGAGTGAGAGGACACTGTTGACAGTACTGTTGTTGTCTGAAATCACTGATAAAATCATTAAGGTGATTTTCCTAGAGGAAAACCACACAATATCATTTTACAGTTCATTACCTTTTTCCAGAGACTTAATTATTATCAGGCCAAACCAGACTTTTGACCCCGTGTGGGCGCTCATGTTCTCAATTCTCAGGGAACTTTGAGAAGATAGAGAGGAACCATGATGAGGGTTCAGAACACTAGGAGGAGGGGAAGGGAAAGATGGGGCAGTCTTCTGCTGTCCCCTGTACAGTACACTTCAGATGAGGGGGTTTCATGATGTTTCTCAGGAGGATGAAATGCTACCACACCAAACGGAGTAACAAGCTTTTCCCCTCCATTGAAGAATAAATTCTAGGAAATATATTTAAACCATAGTAGGAGCGGTTGATTAAATATATAATCAGATAATCTATTTAAAAAAATTCCTGTTAGGCTCATGAAATACCAAGGTGTGAGGTTGTGAAGTCTTGTGGATATCAGTGAACTGCAGTGGGATTTTAAAATAGCGTGAGTTTTATCGGTTTGCTGTGGTTTAGGCAGACAGCGATAAGGAAGTTGGTACAGCTAATGACCTTTGATCCTGTGACTTCTTTGTAGTGTGTTTTGTTAAATTAACTATGTGCCCTATACTCTGCTGTATTTTCATTTCCAGGGAAACATTAGCGTGTGCGTGTGTGTATTCAGTTTTATTAAATTAGTTTCTCTTTTTTTTTTCCTTTCAGAGAGCATTAGGTAATCAAAAGTCCACAGTAGTTGAATTCAGCAATAAAGATGCCTCTGAAATTAACAGTGAGCAAGATAAAGAAAATTCCTTAATCAAAAGTGAACCAAGAAGAATTAAAATATTTGATGGAGGGCAAGTACAAATTTTACTTCTTAAATGTACATTTAAACTTACTTTTTAAATGTACATTTGCTTTCATGTGAATGAAGACTTACCAGCGCCAATTTTATATACATGTTGCAAGGTTTCTCAGCTTATTAACAGAATCTTTGTGACAAAATATGTGTTATGTTCATTCTGTCTTGACCGAGAAAATGACAGTACTTAGGGAACCCTACAGGGTCTAGAAGTCAGCTAAGAACTATGTTTTCAGAGTGACCTCTGGGCTTCACGTTGATTTACAATAAGGGATGACTTAAAAAATCTGCTCTAGGAAATGAATATATTTCCTATTTAATGCCTCTATATTTTGATATAAGGAAACAAGTTGTGAAAGTCCACTGTAGTTTTAGTGAAGCTCAGAAATATTTCAGTACTTGAACTTTTCATGATTGAATTCTTAGCAGTAACGAAAACTTGTAAACCAGAGACGTAGAAACAGGGAAATACGTTTACATTAAACATATCGTGTAAGTTTGTTCCATTAGAATTTAGCTATTAGAATATTAAGTATGGGTACGAAAATCTGGAATACTGTGACTTACACATGCATACCGTTTTTACTGAGTATAAAACTTGTGCCTTACTTTTTAGGTTGAATTGTAATCATCCATATTTTCTCAGAGACATAGTGTTCGATCTCCCTATTCGTTTTTTTCTTTAAATTAGATATAAATCAAATGAAGAGTATGTGTATGTCCGAGGCAGGGGAAGAGGAAAGTACATTTGTGAAGAATGTGGAATACGTTGTAAGAAACCTAGTATGTTAAAGAAACACATACGAACCCATACAGATGTCCGCCCCTACCACTGCACTTACTGTAACTTCTCCTTTAAGACGAAAGGTATGAGACACAAGTTGCTTTGCCATCCTTTTCCTTTAAGTAGCTAAGACCCAATGTTGCATGCTCTTTGGCCAAGAATACAGTAGCTTAAATAGATGAATATAAATTATATCTTGTCAACATTATTTCTTTGTTTCTGGACCCTTTGGGAAAAAGTTTTAAATTATACACTTTTAGGATATGAATTTTTTAAATGCGTAATGACCTTTTTAAAATTTTACCCCCAATTACAGTTGCATAACATGATGACTAATACATTTTTCAAAAATATGTAATTGGGCCCAAAGAAGAAAAAAGAAACTTTCATGGTCACAAAAGTTCATTTGGGTACAAAAAGATGGAAGAAAGATTTGAGATAATCACCACAGTAAACTTTTATAATGCTTATACATGTTTTATTATCTTAGTTTAGGCATACATAGTCATTTCTTTTTTTTTTTTAACCCAACTATTGTTGAATTCCAGCTTTTAAATTTTTCTAGTTTTTATTATTTGATTTTTACAAAAAGTTCTCCAAGCTAGTCATAAAATTATATTTAGCACCCTTTGTGTTATCTTAATATGTTTTTATTTAAATTATAAGCCTTCATTCCAGCTAAAGCCAATTTTATCCTGTTTCCTGTTATGCATAATGGATATAACCCCTATAAAAAGGTGGCCTTCTCCATTGGGCTCCTTGTTTATAAATCCGTGTGTAACACTTTGTTACCTGAGATTTCAATTTCATACACCACTCTTTAAAAGTAGGAGTCTAGGAATCAGCAGATGGCATCATCGTTATGCCCCTAGACTCCCACATACTCAACTGCAGTTCAAGTCCCAGACTGGGTGCACACGTGTGCGTGTGTGTGTGTGTGTGTGTGTGTGTGTGTGTGTGTGTGTGTGCGCCTCAGATCCCAAGAGGAGAATGGAGAAGGGATTGCAGTGTGGCCATCCTCCCTGGGGGGTGATTTCTTGCTCTCTGTCTCTCCAGTGAGTGCATGCACCCTATAGCAAAAATCTCTCTAAAAATAAAAATTAAAATTAATAAAAAGTAGGAATCTCATTAACAAAGCAATATGATCATGAAAATGTCTGTCTGAAAGGATATCAGACCAAAAAAGAATTGTTTTTTTAATGGATACTAACCCTTTTGAGTCAACTCTTTTTTCTGTTTATGTTGTTTATCTTCACAGTTTTTTTTTAAGGCAGATAAACTCTAAATGTATTACATTTTTTTGGCTAGTGTTTATTGACATCTGAAGAAAATAATAATGTAACAACTAAAGCACTTAAAACCAGCTCTCTTCACATGCCAAGAATATCTGAAATAAGAATGGTAGAAAAATAAAATGTTTTGTAGATAGCTTTGACCATTTTCAAACAGTTTCAAGAAGTCAGAGGGGATGGGAGGAATACTCACTCTATACTTTGTGATGCAGAGTCTCCTGGAGATAGGGGGTGAGTTTGGGGCTGATTTTGCTAGACTCAAGCAAGAACACCAATGGAATAAGGCTCTTTGTTTGTTTTTTAACCCAAATTATTGCTTTTTCACTGGCTTTGATCCTACAATGAACAGATATCCATTAATTTCCAACATGAAATGATGAGCATACTTTCAAGGCAAATATTACCAATACAACATTACTAAATACAGAATCATTTTATTATGTATCAGAAGATCAAGATAATGTAGCATGGGTATTTCTCAGAAGAAGGAAGAAAAGGGAAGTAATTATATTTATAAATGAAGAGCAAGAAAAAAACGAACGTGGAAAACCAAATGAAATTACAGAGGTTTCTTAGCAAGGGAAATATTACGAGTCACCCAGTGTTAATCTTAGTGAGATGAGTTGAAACATCACACAAGAGTTTAGGTGAATGTTTGTTAAACAGCAGACAGAACAGAATGACTCCCCCGAGGAGGAACCTTGCATGTTTGTGGTTTCTATGTCTTACATTTCTCTAATATGCCATATATCGGGGTTTACATTAAACGTTTTTGTTCTGTCAGATAAGTCATGTGATATTATATGACGGATATTTATTTAAAGCAGGCTAGTGAAGAAAATATTAGAAATACTTGAAATTTAATATAGTTTTCTCAGGATGACAGTTGTCTTTTGTATTTGTTTGTTTTGTTTTGTTTTTTTTTGCCATAGGAGAGAAAGTGAGAAATTGTGTGTGTGTGTGTGTGTGTGTGGCGGGGGGATGGATATGCCACAATCCCTTCTCCTCCATTCCCTGCTTGGGATTTTGGGCACGCATGCACAGGTGCCCCACATGATTTGCAAGCCACTAGATCAGAGGCTTAAAATGTGGCTGGCCCTATGGGAGTCCAGTAATATGGCTGGCCCTGTGGAAGTCCAGCGCCTTAGCCTCCATGCCACCAGCTGGCCCTGACGGTTCTCATTTTTTGTGACCAGCATTCTTTCAGAAGTCTACCTTTTGTGAATAAGTGTAAAACAGATTTCCTAGTCCCTTTTAAAGATAACTGTGTCATAGCAGACCTGTTTTTGAGTTCCTGGTTTTTGTCCTACTCTGATTCCTTGGTTATCCTAGCTGACCCACCTCTACTCTACCTAGTGTCTGGTTATTAGCAGGAGGAAACAGTGATGTGTTGGGTGCTGTGTAAATACGGTGTGCAAGACAGCAAATACTATCGAAGAATGATCTGTAGTACTGAACGTTTATGCTTCCGATGGTCACGCTTAGGAATCTATAATTCATTGTTTGTCCTTTTAGTTTACTTTATGAGTACGTTTTCAAAATAATTTCAATTGATTTGTTTTCACAATTCTGCTTTAAAGGTCAGTCAGCAGAAAATAAACAGTGAGCTTGCATTTCCGAAAGATTTAGTCCCTTTTATGTTATAGAGGGTTAGATTGCATCTAGCTATGAGAAACCAGAAACAAGAAATTTCATGCTTTCCAGAGGATTTAGATGAACATTTATTAAATTTATCTGAAAACGTACCTATTAAATTAATGCACGAAGTTTGTAATATTGCTTGGGGTTATTTACATTTAAATAGGCATATTTAAAATACATTATTTCTCATTTATTAAAATGAGTAAACTGGTCAATATTACGTAACAGCTTAAGTTATAAGAAAATATACCAATTACTATTTTTCCAAATCTACCTAATCACAATTATTCAGTAACTTCTTAGAAAGCAGTTAACCTATTCTGGCTCTTTCTAGGGGACAAAAGCATTTTGAAAGAGAACTATCAGTCAACCTTGTCATTTGGTTTATAATATTGTTATTACATTGAAAACATTTTTACTTAGAAGTAGACATTTCAGCCACATGAAGGTGGCTAAATAATTTTTTATAACTTTTTAAATATGAAAACTTGGACACTCTTAACAAGGAGAGATTTTATGTAATGAACACCAGTGTGCCCACTGTCTTTTGATGATTGCTAATATTGTGCCACATTTGCCTTGCGTTTTATTTTTAAGTGTATTTAACATGCATGTCAGACATCGCCAAACCATGTACACCAAGTGCTAGCTCCAGAATCACAGAGGCCAGGATGTGAGGGCTTAGACATCACCTGGCCCAGGCAGCTCTCCCCTGCATCCTTCAGCACTAGCTCTGGGGTCTGTGCGGCCTGCTCGGACAAGAACATGTTCTCTAGTGCAAGAGTCGGCCGTATCACACGCTTCATGCGTGTCTCAGGGACCAAAAGCTCTATAAATACATCACTTCTGCATGTGCTTAGGTATCACAAGTCAAAATTGATGCCAATGAGTCACACATATTATTTAGGTCTTTTAAAGGCTTCCTCTCAAATACAAGTTTGCCCTTACCCACCAGAATATCTTTTGTTTTCTTTCTGTGTTTTGTTTTCTCCCAAGACAGAATTTGCCCTGTTGGCAGTGTTTGCATGTATGGCAGTGTCCACACAAGTCCAAGCGGACTTCCTGCGTTGTAATCCCTCAGGGCAAGTGTGCCGGGCAGGTCCCAGTTACTCCAGGAGCATTTACAGACACACAGCACAGCCACAGAGGAAACACACCTCCATGGATGCTGTCATCAGGCTTCTAGTCAAAATGCGAAGTGGAATTAATGCCATGAATTCTTTTTCCTATTCCAGACACACAGAAATAATGTTAATAATATTATAACAACCAAAAATAGTTTCTCCAAGCTAGTCAGACATGAACTTTGAAAAGATAAATTCTCAAATACTAGAACTAGGATACTCAAAGTAGCATGGTGAGCAAAACTTTAAAAAAAAAAGAAGAAAGGAAGTCCATATCAGACCTACAAGCATATGGTTTCAATGCCTGTCCTTAGATGGGATCTGAGGCCCCTGGAAGAAGCCTGGCTCTCCTGTCCAGGGAGTTTGGGTCATGTGGGAAGTAAGCGATCTGCTTACAAGCAACACTTGTACATATGCCACACAGAAGACTAGAATCCATGGCCTTAAACCAATGAACCAGTTAAGGTCCCAGGCAGAAGCAAGTGGAAAACTGCCTTACAGAGATGTTTCTACAACCCAGAATACTTAGGCCTCCATGGAAAACGGTCTTGCTGAAGATGAATTTGCAAGTAAAACTAAGCATCATGCAAGGAAACAGATTACCATGAGAGAGAGCCAGCAGATGTAGTTAGTGGAGAACTCACACTGTAGGAACTACAGATCGTAGTGTAATCTGAAAGGAACTTTAAGTCATATGTACAAGGTTTTAAGAAATAAGGACTAGAGAATAGAAGCCATACGGCATAGAGGCACTATCAAAGTAGAGGAGGCAAATTTGACATAGAGAAAACATCACTAACAAATAGCGTGGTTTTATAGCATAGAGATACCATTATTTTTATTTGTCCACATTTTAATAAGTGAAGTTGTATAGCCACACTCTGTACTTTTGCTTGAAACTGCAATGGAATTTGCCAGTGTTGACAATGCAATAGCAAAATAATACTATGTAAGCTTAGTAAACATTCTCTTCCCTTAAGGAAATCTGACAAAACACATGAAGTCCAAGGCACATAGCAAGAAATGTGTGGATTTAGGCGTCTCAGTAGGTTTAATAGATGACCAAGATACAGAAGAATCAGGTAAGGCTTTACACCATATTTCTCGTAAGTGCTGTTTACAATGTTTTTTTTTTTTTTTTTGCACACCCATACCTTCTTTCCGTCTACACTGATACTGCCTAACTCCTGTTTTCATCTCTTCTTGTTTATAATACACGATAGAGCCCTGATCAGTTTTCCTGTCCCTGGATTGTCTTTGTTCCTGCCTATCTGTCCCTGCTGATGTTATTCTTCTGAGCTGTCTGTCTAATCATACTGTTCCTCTGCTCAGAGTCATTCATGGGTTTCCTTTTGCCTGCTGGATAAAGCATGAGCCACTTGACCTTAATCAGAACCCTCTGTGGTCAGCCACCTACCTGCTTCTTCACCCATCTCCTTTCTCTCCCTCACCCACGCTCACGCTTGAATTTCCTGCTTACATGATGTCTGTCTGGCTCAGTCTTTACAAGCCTCCCTAAGACCCTGCCCTTACTCCCCACACCAGTGTGGCTACAGTCTGCACTGGACGGACGCTCGTGTTTCTTCAAGGTCCAGCTCAAACCCTCCGCTGTCATGAACCCTTGTCTGATTTTGCTCCTCACGCGTCTTGTGAGAAACAGGTTTTCCCTTCTCCGAATTCCTGCAGTGTGTCAGTGTCCTCTCTGAAAGCAGTTAGGCCCTCTCTCCCTTACCTTGTGACCATGCCCATGCGTGGCCTGACCCCCACTGCGATGTTCTCCAGCAGGTCACGAGCAGAACCGATGACCAGGTAGTACTGGTTCCACCGTGGCATCCGGCTCGGTGCCCCGCTCCACGAGTGTCCGTGGAGTGAAACATTGGTTTGCATCTCCATAGTGTCTGTTGTTTTGAAAAGGTTAACTGGTTGGATTTCTGTTTGTTTAACAGGGTTAATTCAACAAGTATAAGTGTTTATCTTTGATTATTTATGAACTATAATAAATAATGTTCATTCATTATGACCGGTCAGAGAATAGAAATATCTTTTTGTAAAACTTATTTTTTAAACTAGAGGATTTATCAACCAAAGAGAATTAAAGGACAGAAAAAAAAAGTATCTTGTTGCTTTTTAAAAGCACCCTAAACGTTTATCTCTTTGCTTCATTTTCCTTAATATGTATTAGTTTGGTGCAGAGAAAATTTCCAAAGAGAAAATGATTAAGATGTCAGTGAAAATCTAGGCAAAATATTAAATGCATTTAGTCCTGACAGTCAGTAACACACTAAATGAATCAGCTTGAATTTATTTGTAAATATGCAAGGGAAGTGACTCATATCTTAAGTGGCATAGAGTCATCCAGATGGAAAAGGACAGGAAAAAAATGTGAAAGGGTTTCAGCAAGCATATTGATTATCCTCCGATTATGAAGGGCAGGAGGTAAAGGTCGTCACATGAAACACTGATGTCTGAAAATACGTATGCATAAGAGGCACCGTTAATACCTGCTCACATCTTCAAGTAGATGGATCTTCTAACTAACATGTCTGTAGAACCCTCTAAATTGTTGAGAAGATAGTACTTATGTCCTAGGTTTTGCATGGAAGAATTGAGGTTAGTTTCCATTCATTATCAGACATTGTTCAGATTGGCTAAACTGACCGACTCACCTATCCATCCACACTCATTTTTGTGTTTTTCATCTCACTCCAAAAGCATTTGAAGCCAGTTGTTAGATTATAACTCAGTGTTGACAGTCTAATTCTCTATTCAGATTAGATCTGATAAAACAAGGTCATTTTACCTGGTTTTCTTTCGGTTTAATTTTTTAAAGAATTTTTAAATTAAATTAAATTTTGTTTTTTAATCCTTTCATTAAGAGTTTTTATTTATTTTATTTTTTGCCTTAGGGCATGTACACTTGCACCTCCCCAGGGGGGATGGCCATGCTGCCATCCCTTCTCCTCCATCTTCCTCCCAGGATTTTGGGCATACATGCACATGCACCTGGTGTGATTTTAAAGTCACCAGATCTGGAATTTGAACCATGGTATGCCATGATGGAATCCAGCAACATAACCACTACACCATCTACTGGCCCCATCATTATTATTATTTTTAAAATTTGACCAAGGAGAGACAGTGAGAGAGAGAGAGAAAGTGAGAAAGCAAACCATCAGGTCCAGGACTCAAACCACAGTCAACCATGTGGGAGTCTAGTGTGTTAACCACCATGCCACCTGCCTGCCCCTTAGTTTAACTTGTTTACTTACTATATTTGTGGATAGTATGCTCGAAGTTTTTTCACAGTGTTTATTGAATCGTAAAGTGTAGCATATAGGTGGATTTCGCCAAGTGCTGTGTCATGCCTGGGACCTAAAATTTTTTATTGCTATGCTGACAAACTGTGGCCCTCTCCTCTTGCATGATCATAGGCTTGCAGTATAGGTATAAATACAGTAAACAGTTGTTTAAGCAGTGGTCTTATTTTCCTTATATTCTTTTCTGCTTCTAAAACATACGTTGAGAATTTTTAAAACACAAAGAGTACAAAGAGTATTATTACATACACCCATGTATTTACCACAGAGTTGATTATAAATATTTGCTCATGTTTTCTTCAAGTACTTTGCATAAATTCCATGCATTAAAAAGAAAGCTGAGTCAGGTGTTACACTGGAGGCACAGCCCTCCTTCCCCCCTTTATAGCCCCTGTCCTCTCCCAGTGGTCACCGGCAGGCTGTCTGCATTAGGGAATCCTTTTCAGTTCACTCACTGTACATGTATATATCCAGTAACGGTATGTGATTTTGTTTATGTTTGAATTTTACATTTAAATAAATATGCCACCTTGTATTCAGATACCCACAAAATTAACTTACTATATAATCTTTACGTGTCCTCCGGAAGAGATGATCCATTTCCTCACCTCTCTAACTGTACCTAATAATAATCTGTATTTAAATCTAGGCTGACTTGCTGGCTTGTTGTGTGTATCTGTGGTTTCTTGGTGACTCTCCTAAGGTTGGGTCCCATTATAATTTTTTTTTAGAATTATTTTATTGAACTTTAAAAAAAAATTAATTTGAACAGAAATGGATAGTGTGTGGGGTAGGATGAGAAAGCAAGCCGCCAGGTCCCGGCCTCGAACCATGGTCAGTCATGTGGGTGGGAGTCCAGTGTCCGTAGCCACCATGCCACCTGCCAGCCCCCGGTCTGATAAAACAAGGTCATTTTACCTGGTTTTCTTTCGGTTTAATTTTTTAAAGAATTTTTAAATTAAATTAAATTTTGTTTTTTAATCCTTTCATTAAGAGTTTTTATTTATTTTATTTTTTGCCTTAGGGCATGTACACTTGCACCTCCCCAGGGGGGATGGCCATGCTGCCATCCCTTCTCCTCCATCTTCCTCCCAGGATTTTGGGCATACATGCACATGCACCTGGTGTGATTTTAAAGTCACCAGATCTGGAATTTGAACCATGGTATGCCATGATGGAATCCAGCAACATAACCACTACACCATCTACTGGCCCCATCATTATTATTATTTTTAAAATTTGACCAAGGAGAGACAGTGAGAGAGAGAGAGAAAGTGAGAAAGCAAACCATCAGGTCCAGGACTCAAACCACAGTCAACCATGTGGGAGTCTAGTGTGTTAACCACCATGCCACCTGCCTGCCCCTTAGTTTAACTTGTTTACTTACTATATTTGTGGATAGTATGCTCGAAGTTTTTTCACAGTGTTTATTGAATCGTAAAGTGTAGCATATAGGTGGATTTCGCCAAGTGCTGTGTCATGCCTGGGACCTAAAATTTTTTATTGCTATGCTGACAAACTGTGGCCCTCTCCTCTTGCATGATCATAGGCTTGCAGTATAGGTATAAATACAGTAAACAGTTGTTTAAGCAGTGGTCTTATTTTCCTTATATTCTTTTCTGCTTCTAAAACATACGTTGAGAATTTTTAAAACACAAAGAGTACAAAGAGTATTATTACATACACCCATGTATTTACCACAGAGTTGATTATAAATATTTGCTCATGTTTTCTTCAAGTACTTTGCATAAATTCCATGCATTAAAAAGAAAGCTGAGTCAGGTGTTACACTGGAGGCACAGCCCTCCTTCCCCCCTTTATAGCCCCTGTCCTCTCCCAGTGGTCACCGGCAGGCTGTCTGCATTAGGGAATCCTTTTCAGTTCACTCACTGTACATGTATATATCCAGTAACGGTATGTGATTTTGTTTATGTTTGAATTTTACATTTAAATAAATATGCCACCTTGTATTCAGATACCCACAAAATTAACTTACTATATAATCTTTACGTGTCCTCCGGAAGAGATGATCCATTTCCTCACCTCTCTAACTGTACCTAATAATAATCTGTATTTAAATCTAGGCTGACTTGCTGGCTTGTTGTGTGTATCTGTGGTTTCTTGGTGACTCTCCTAAGGTTGGGTCCCATTATAATTTTTTTTTAGAATTATTTTATTGAACTTTAAAAAAAAATTAATTTGAACAGAAATGGATAGTGTGTGGGGTAGGATGAGAAAGCAAGCCGCCAGGTCCCGGCCTCGAACCATGGTCAGTCATGTGGGTGGGAGTCCAGTGTCCGTAGCCACCATGCCACCTGCCAGCCCCAGGTCTTATTATTCTTTAAAAAGAACCTTCCTCCACTGAGTGGATGATAGTTAGCCATGGGGTTTTGCTTAGCGGCTCTTTGGATTTGAGAGAGGAGCCCACAGCCCTGCAGTGTGACGCCATGCCTGGAGGGTGTGTTGTCCTCCAGCCTGACACCAGCCTAGTCTCCTTTGTCACATTGTCCTCATCACCCCAGCGTCTACATGGAGACCCCAGAGCTGAGGGCCCTGCTCCCATCTCCTTCCCGTCTGTGCCCTCCACAGCTGCACCTGGCGAACTTGCTGTGCCCTCCGGTGGCTCTTCCCTGCAGCCTTCTCCCATCCTCCTGGCTGCTCACAGGAAGTCTCCACTCAAGGTCAACCTTCCTGCTATCTTCCTCTCCTGTTGCTTATCTATTAACACCTATCAACCTCCTCTTCAAAGAATCCAACCACGTCCC